AAATATTATTATAAAATTGTGTTTTAATTTTAAAATAATTAATTAATTCTTCAATTGTATAAATATTTTGTATTGTTCACCTTCAGAAAACCATTTTGATAATATATTAAAGTGACTATCAACAATATTTTTTTCATGATATTCAATAAAATAATTGAATAAAATCTTTTTATTATAATAGAAGGTAAATAATTAAAAATAAAATGCATTAATTTATCAGGGCAAAAATGTGATTCACAATTAGACCAAAAACAAATTTCTTTAAATTGTGACATAAAATTATTAGAAAGAAGTTTTTTAATATAATTAGTTACAAATAAAGAATCATGATTTAAAATTTTTGAAAAATAATCAATATATTGTGTTTGAATATTATTATTACTATCTTTATAAAAAATAACAAATCCCAAAAGTGAAATTTGTATTTTTTCATAAAAATCTTTTCCTGTTTCTATTGGGCCACCACCAATTTTAAAATTTTCTTTAAAGTCCATAACAACAACACAAGATGTAGTTGTTGTTAATTCAAGTGAATTTTTATAAAATTCTTGTTGTTGAGTTTTAAAATAAAGATGTTGTTTATAAAAACTAATTTCAGTTTGTAATTGATTAATAATAGAATGATTTTTTCTATTATTTAAATTCATTTGTTGTAATTTAATTTCTAATTTTTGTCCTTCAACATAAATTGGACACATATTTGTTTTTTTTTGTGTTTTTTTAAAATTTTGAGGACAAAGTTTATAAAATTTACTCAAACTTAATTTTAAGTTTGAATATTGATTTTTTAATTCAAAATAGATAGTTTTTTTAGGTTTTTCTAAATAATAAATTATTGAAGAATTATAATCAATAGTAAGATCTTCCAAAGAATATGGAAGTTTAACAGAAGAACATGTAGATGTTGATAAGTGAGAATTTTGTAAAAGAAACTTTAAAATAAATTCAAAAGTTTCTTTATTAATTTTGGATTTAGAAGATGGAATATGTCTTTGATAATCAAATATATTAAATAATTGATTATTGGATTTTTTCAAAGCAGTAGAAAATTGTTTATTACTAAAATTAAAACCAATATTTTTTAATTCAGATCTACTATATAAACCAGCAATTAAAGATAAAATACTAGATTTATATTTTGTAGAAACAGAGTTATGCATGGTTTTAATATTATTTAAAACTTGTGTAATTTTTGAATTACTTTGTAAATGGGAGGAATATGATTTTCCAATATATGAATTATTTAAAAAATAATCATATAATTGTTCTGGTTGATTACCAGATAATTGTAAAGTAGTATCATGCAAAATTGATACAATAAGACTTTTTTGTGATGAGGAATGAGAATTAAAAGGTAAAGGATAAGGGTTATAAGAATTTAATAAAGAAGAAAGTTTTTTTCTTAGATTTAAGGAAGGCATGGTGAAATTAAAATACTAAAATGAAAAATAAGAAGTATTTATAGACTTTGAAATTCGAAAATCCAATGACAATATTATTACATAATTATCTCGATAACTAATTATTCAATATTAACAAACTTTTTTTTATATGCAAGCCCATGACTTAATATTCAAAATGAATACTCATTTATTAAATAATATTGCGTATTAATGAAGATATTAACATTTAAACTTTTAGATTGAAAATTCGAAAATTTTAAATTCGAAAATCAAATGACAATATTATTACATAATTATCTCGATAACTAATTATTCAATATTAACAAAAACTTTTTATGTAAAAATACATGACATAAGCTTTAAAATGAATACTCATTTATTAAAAACTTTTACGTATTGATGAATATATCAGTATTTAAACTTTTAGATTGAAAATTTGAAAATTTTAAATTCGAAAATCTAATGACAATATTATTACATAATTATCTTGATAACTAATCATCAAATATTAACCAATTTTTTTTATATGAAAGCCTATGACTCAAGTTTCAAAATGAATACTTATTTATTAAATAATATTACGTTTTGATGAAGATATAAATTTTTAAATTTTTAAATTTAAAATTTAAAATTTAAAATCCGAAAATAAAATGACAGTATTATTACATAATTATCTTGACAATTAATTATTAAATATTAATAAACTTTTTTTTATATGAAAGCCCATGACATAAGCTTCAAAATGAATACTTATTTATTAAATAATATTACGTATTAATTAAAATATAACTATTTTAATCTTTTTAAAATTTAATACTCAGAAATTTAAATCAATAAAAAATCACATGATTAATCAATATCATATGATATAAAATTTAAGGTTATATTTTTTTAGGGTAATAAAATTATACCTTAAATTTTGGTTCACCTTCAAAAATAATTACCCATCTATAATAGAATATTAAGAATATTAATAAACAAAGAACAAATTTAAATACTATAATTAATAATATTTATAGAAATTTTTTAATTATTATAAATCTTTAGACTAATATCAAAATGAAAATTTTTATCGCACTTATAATTTGTTTTATCAATAATGATTAGAATTTATATTATTTTACATTGAAGATAATTAAGTTTTAAAGATTTCATATTGTAATAACTATTTGTAATTAAATAATGAAAAGTTTAAAGAATTTAATTTAAATCAAAAGATTACTATAATAATTACTGATAATAAATAAAATATAATTATGGCTTGTAATTTAATTAAACAAAAAAGATAATTTGAGGATTATATATATCTTTATAATATTTAGAATGACTTCATTCAGCAAATAAAAAAAATTTTGACCAATACTTAATATAAAAACATGTTGGAATACAATTTTCTATATGTTAAAATATATTTGAAATCTTAAGAATTATTAGATATAATTATTTTACATCATTCTTTATTATATAATTTATATTCAACTCAAGATAAATAAAATTAGATTAATGATCTTATAAAATTATTAGATCAATTTGATATTTCAACAAAAGAATTAACAACACAAAATTATTCAACTATCACTTATTTATATATAGTTTTACTTAGTATTAACAATATTTTAAGAGCTTATAATAATGAAAATAGTTTATTAAAAGAAATTATAACAATTTTTTATAACAAATTATATAATTATTGGCAATATATTGATGAGACATCACATGTTGCAACATTTCTTGATCCATATTACAAAAAATATTGTTTTCTAAACAAAACTATTCAAGAAATTTTTGAACCTATACAATATTGACTTCCAACAACAAACTAAATTACTATATTGAAAAATATTTATTTTTGTAACACATTTGATGCAACATTCAGAAAATTATTCTATTTAACAAACAAGTGAAATACACCATTACTGGAGCTTATCACCATCTGATAAAAATATTGAACCTTTATTATGATGGAAAATGTATCAAACCAAATATCTGTAGCTTCCAATATAACAAAAAGTTATTTATCAATCAGTTCTACGTAACCAATTATTTTCAATTGCAGGAATGGTTAGTGGTAAGACACAAAATAGATAACAAGTGATAGTGTACAGGCATATTAATATTTAAAAAGCTAAATTGATGAAACCATTTTTAATTAATAATCATGTATTTCAAAACAATAGCATTTATTATTAATTATAAATAAACTAACCATTCATTATTAGTATAATAATAATAATTTAAATTTATATAATTTAAATCAAAATTTTGTATAATTTAAATTTTATAATTTATTTATACTTTTGTAAATGATAACCACACAACGAAATTTCCTATTTATAACTTATATATCTATTACTATTTGATTTTCTTTTATCGATTTCTATTATATTACTGGAAGATCTTTATTGCGATCCGAAAGTCCTATCCTAATACAGTACTTCCCTACACCTATCTTATGCGTCATACATAAAATTATAATATTAATCACTATTCTTTTAACATACTCTAAAATAATATTCCATTATTACTCCATGTATTAATTCTTTTTTCTTAATAGCACCTACATGAATTTTATGTTATGAATTAAATTCGTGACTCCAACTTGTTTCTTGACCCTTACTATATGATTTCTTTTTCTTTACTTGATTTTTACTTTCCGTAGGCAATTTTTTCACATAATGATGAGGATGAAAAAAAATAAACCTTTTTTCTTTTTGTAGGCATCTTCTCTTAATAGCTTGTATCAATAAAAATCATAATAAGTAGAGCAACGAATCTGTTATACACCAAAAGAAAGTGTAGCTCCTCGATAACAACTCTTTTTAGATCGTAATGTTCTATATCAATATTATTGTTAAAATAAAAACATGGGATTTCGACATTTTGGTTTTAGAATATACTGTATTATTAGAAATAGTGCATTAAATGTCAAGAATTAATTAACGACACTGATTTTAACACCCACCAGAAAATTAACGTAATAAACAATCATCAAACAGTATATCGGTATACAGTTGACAAATTATATACAGTAATTCACATGATCGACTAAAAGTCGACTTTTGTTGATTTTTACCCCTTAAGTTGACAAAAGTCTAGTCGAGTTAAGTTAAATCGAGTCATTAGCATCCCTACTCTTACTGATTCTATCCTTGGTACAGATAGGGCATATTGAATGACATAATGAAAAAGTAGTTTAGGAATTCGTACGAATCTAATTACGGTAGATATTAAATTTTTTTGCGCAGCCTGTAAAAACGCGACATGAAAACCTTTATTTTTATTAAAGTTACCTTAAGATGAATCAAAGAATTTCCATTCATAACTCGCAAGTTATTCTATAAAAAGTTAAAATTTGATAAATCAATCTCATTTATTCTAAATAAGGTTCGAACGACGTATTCCAGTACTGAGTCGGGTCTGTTATTTTAAAAAAGTCATAAAATAAGATCCATTCTTATTATCATTTCTCGACATTTGTTGAAATAAATGGAAGTTATTTTAAATGGACACCCAGCTATAATATGCCCAGGTTGTCAGAAGACGACGAATAAAGGAAATGAATTTGGAGAGAAAAAATTATGTGGATTTTGTTATTTTGGAGAGTATTTTCTGAGAAAAAGTGGCAACCAAGATATTGACAATTTCCTAAGAAAATTTGCAGAACGGAAAAAGTATCCCTTCTTGGAATTTATACCGTACGAGGAGTTTTCAAATGTTATAAAAATTGGGCATGGAGAATTTAGTCAAGTTTATAAGGCAACATGGAATAAAGGGTGCCTTCGCAACTGGAATAAAAAAGACGGAAATTTTACTCGATTTCCACCTTCAACAGTAGCTCTAAAGGTTCTCGAGGAATCTCGGGAAATGAACTCTGAATTTTTAAAAGAGGTATTTAAAATTCGGACATTGCTTATAATTATCCATTTATTTTAATTATCCATTTATTTGCTAATGTTTTTGTAGCAACAATTCTTAAATCGAACTAGTATGAAAGCAAAATATAAAAAACGGTTTATTAATGTTTACGGAATATCACAAGATCCCGTGTCTAAAAATTATATTTTTGTCACAATTTATGCGAACCATGGCAATTTAAAGAAATGTTTACAAACTTATTTTAGCAATATAACTTGGTTAGATAAAGGAAAACTTTTGAAAAATATTGTAGAGGCTTTAAATTTGATGGAAAAGGCGAATTATATTCATCGAAATTTACACAGTGGTAATATATTAATGTATTCGGAATTCCCGTTAATCGATGATCTAGAATTTCCAATGAATGAAAAGTCGAGTATTTACGGAGTAATACCTTACGTTGCGCCCGAAATATTTAAGAATGTACCTTTTTCATTTCAATCGAATATCTATAGTCTAGGAATCATAATGTGGGAAATTACGTCTGGAGTTCAACTGTTTCAGGATAGGGCATACGATGAAAATCTTATTGTAGACATATGCGACGGACTAAGACCAGAGATTACCAGAGATACGCCCGAATGTTGGGCAAGTTTAATGCGCAGGTGCTGAGATTCAGAACCTTCAAATCGACCTGATATAAAGGAAATTATGAGAATAAAGGAAGAATGGAAGAGCGACTATTATTATCTACAGTTTAAAGAAGCCAAAGAAGAACGCCAGAAAATAATTAAAGATGGTGTCCCATTTAGGAAAAATTGTGATCCAGATTCAATACATTATAGTAAGTTGTTGGTTTTGCAATAGTTAGTTGTTGGCTTTACAATATTTACAGTATAAAGTCATCAATATTTACATTAAGTTCAAAGAGTTCTTTTTTATGCGATGCTACATAATACTAGTATTGACCTATTCGCTTACCATATACTGTTTATTTAAAAATTGATACTCCAGAAAAAACCCCAAAGTATCAAACTAAAGTGAGATCGGAATGTCAAAATGAAAGTGTATCGGCGAATTTAGTACAAAGCAAAATTATTTCTAAATGGCTACCATATGAGGAATTTTCGGATATAGAAAAAATAGGTCAAGGTAGATCGAGTCAAGTTTATAAAGCGATCAGGCATAAGCAAGGAATAAAGAAGGAAAGAGAGGTGGCACTGAGGATCCTCGATGAATCTCGAAATCTGGATTCGGAATTTTTAAAAGAGGTAAATCCTCATTTAATTCTCAATGCTGTAATGCATATCTATAAAGTACTTACTGACCGATTTGTTTTATAGCCACAATTAAAATTTTTATTTTCAAAGAATCGTTGGAGCACAAATCAATGTTACGGGATTTCACAAGATCCTATGACTATGAATCATATCCTTGTTATGAGCTATAGACCTATTGACTTAAAAGTTTACTTGCAAGCCAACTTTACCAAAATGACTTGGTTTAACAAAAGAGAGATATTGAATAATATCACAGTAGGAATTGTGTCAATTCACAGATGTAATATAATTCACCAAAATTTACATAGCGGTAATTTGTTAATGACAAGTCACCGACAGAATTATTTAATAACAAAAGGAATCTTCAATTCAGTGGTTAAAATTGACTTAGGATTCCATCGAACCATAAAAGGGTTAAATTGTCATGAAATTTACGGAATTATACCCTATACTGCACCCGAGATTTTAAAAGGTGAACCATTTTCATTACAATCCGATATATACAGTTTAGGCATGATTATGTGGGAACTTACGTCTGGTCGTCGGCCATTTTATAATAGAGCACATGATGAACATCTTATCTTAGATATATGGGATGGATTGCGACCCGAGATTACTGAAGACACACCCGATTATTGGAAGGGATTGATGCAAAGATGCTGGGATTCAAATCCTTTAAATCGACCTGAAATATAAATAATAAATCAAGCCATGAAAAAATTATATGCGAATGATTATCACCAATTTCAAAATGCAGAAGAAAAACGAAAGCAAATGATAGACTCCAATATCTCATTTTTACAGGAACCCGAACAGAACCATCCAGAATCAGTGTACCATGCTAGATTATTAAATACCATTGTAGAGATTGCAAATTCCATTAAAAATTCGAGAGATTCGTTTAACCTTATGAAACCTTCAGGTAACATTTTGAATACACCAAAAGATTTTGATATTTATAACCTTGCATATATTAGTGCTTTATAACATACAGGTTTAGCTTTGGATCAATTATTAATAACTTTAATATTTTAATACAGCAGCTGGCAATAAGATATTGGTACATCCGGAAATTCAAGTAGAACCCCTAAAACAAAAAAAACGTTAGCACTAGGCATTATCAAATTGGGAAATGTTCTAACTGCAACATAAAAAGAAGATATGCTGATGTGGGCAAGAAAATTTGCAGGCTTTGTTCTTTTGCAAAATTATTTCCAAAAAGTGATAATCAGGATATTAATTACTTCCTCATAAGATCATCAAATAATCAAGCAAAAAGCATTTTAGAGTGGATACCATATGAGGATTTTTCGAATATCGAACGCATTGGAATGGGTGGATTTAGTAAGGTTTACAAAGCGATGTGGCAAAGGGGACATATTAAACATTGGAATTCAAGGATGGGAGAAGTAGTTCGTTCCGAACCCGTGGAAGTAGCATTGAAAGTGCTCGATGATTCTGCAGATATATGTTCAACCTTTCTAAATGAAGTATGTATTTAATTTTTATTGTTATTTATTTTCTATTTCATTTTGCTAACAAACTATTCGTATGATTTTATAGTTAAAGTTTTAACATTTATTTAAATCAAACGAATTAAAATATCGTCATATTGTTAAATGCTATGGAGTTTCCCAGGAATCCAAAACTCGAAATTACATTTTTGTCATGCAATATGCAAATTATGGGAACTTGAGAACATTATTGGTAAATGGATTTAATAACAAGGTAGGTTGGGGCCTTAAAAAAAGATTGTCCTCACACTCTTAGAATCTATCAAAGAGATTCATTAACAAAATTTAATACATCGGGATATGCACAGTGGAAATGTATTGATATCTAAAACAAAAAAAAATACAATAATTTTTTATCATTGCTTGGCGATTTAGGGTTAAGTCAGCCTGTGAATAAAAAGTCTAAATCAACTTATGGAGTTATTCCTTATCTAGCACCCGAGAATTTTAATGAAAAATATTTGACCCAATATGATATACTGTATATAGTTTGGGTATGATTATGTGGGAACTCACGTCCGGTCACAAACCATTTCATGATAGAGCACATGATCACAATCTAATTGTAGATATAATTAGAGGATTGAGGCCAAAAATTACCAAGGACACACTCGAACGCTGGGCGAATATAATGAAAATATGTTGGGATTTGGACCCTTTAAAACGACCAACAATTGAAGAAATAATAGAAAATCTAGATCCCGAAGAACTTCGAGCAGCAGAGAAAATACGTGAAGAAATGATAAAATATGGAATTCAATTTGTAGAAAAACCTGGATTCGAACATCCAGAGTCCGTTTATTCTAGTAGAAAATTGGATTCTTTTATTGAAAGTTCAAAGGTCATCCTATATGATTCATCCTATGCGAAAGAAATGTTAGGTAAATCTATATACTGTATTCATTTTATTTTTACGAATGTATTATATATCATTATTAAACCAATTCATTTTTATAAAATATAATTACAGTAATGTTTCGGAGAATTCTCTGTGAGTTGCCTAATTATACGATAAATTTGTTTCTCGTCAACAATTTTATTTATTAATTAACGCAATAAATTATAATACTGTTGGTTTGCCTAATTAGGACAAAACATGAAGCAGAAGAAAAGGATGGTAAGAAAATGATTTTTGTTTGTTTATTATAAATATGACTCAAATACAATATATTTTTCATTATACTAGATTGTCATGAGATCATAGATGGTAAGAATTCTTTCATTTGAATAATGTTAACTCACATGTTATTAATTAATCTACCATTTGCGTGTGTAGAAATTGATTTTGACTGGCAATAAGTTTAAAAGGTTATTCCAGTATCCTTCGCATTTATTGGTCCATGACCTATCGATTTCTATGGTTCATTTTGTAATCGATATAATAAGGTACTTATACGTGATAAAACTTTTCCTACATTAAGTAATATCTTGCTTTAGCATTAAAAAAAAAATTGATATAGGAGCTATTTTTTGAATTAAAAATAAAGGCTTATGCAATAAAATATGAACGACTTTACTTGTATAAATACTATTAATTTTTAAACTTATTCATATATACAGTATATACAGTATATATATATTTGTAGATATTTTCATTTAAAATTCTATATTTATTATTTTTTCTATATTTTCAAAAAAAAAATAACTCTTTCCCATTTATTCTACTTTTATTAAAATTTTTTTCTTTAAAAAATATTTTTCTTTTTATCGGAAAAACGCGCTCTTATTGAATACATACTTCAATAATTCTTCCCTGGTTAGAAACATTACATTGTACTCTCTTTAAAGATAAGCTTTTGCTAGTAATAAAGCTATCATGGTTTGCAAACAGCTTTCTTTATCCTCAAATAACTGCGTTGGATAATAAAGTATATAGTACCATTAAAGTTTTGATTTGGTTTCTTAATAATAAAAGGTCATGCAGTATTTCTCTTACAGTTAGAAGATATAGGATAAGATATCATAAAGAAATGAAAAAGTATATTCTCCAAATAAAAAGTTAAAATAATATTTTATAACATTTTCTGCTTTTTTCTTTATAACCTTACCTATGGCATAATATAATGATCTTTATTATATTGAATTATAATATCTTGTGACTGAACTTTAATTGACCACAATAAACAGTAACAGTGATACTCTACTCAAATCAGGAAGCAAATAGTTAATTCTAATTAAAGATTTTTCAGACTAATTAAAAATCAATAAAAAGATATGAAAATGAATACTTACACACTTATATAAAAAACCATACTTTGTACAATAGTTTTTAAAAAGTTTTCTTTGTTATATATATACTATTTTCTGTTTATATACTTGGAAAATTCGCCGGAATATATACTATAGATTATATAAAACTACACAAAATTTATTCTTTTTATCTTTATTTTTTTTCTGCTTGTGAAATAGTTAAAGGAGTCATTTATGAAGTTTTTATGTATTGAATTGAATTGATGTATAAAACTTAAAAAAGTAAGATTTGACAAATTAGCAATTCTCATAGGCTATTTTCTCTCTTATGCATTCAGAAAAATAATATATATTGGATTTTTGTCTAAAATGGCAATAAGTCATATAGTAAAAACCGGTCTTACATTATATATAATCAATTCTTATCTTTTATAGGTTAAATTTGTAAGCATATATATATTCTTGTGATATTTCTTATAAATTTTAATTATAAATGTAAATAAAGATTTATATTAGTAGGCTTAAAAAAATCAAGTATATATCTTTTTTCGAATTGTAATAAACGTATTGATTTTGTTAATGAAATCAAAAGGTTAAAATTTAAATTGTCTCAAATAAGTAGTATATTAATTTTAGTTAATAAATTTGTTTATAGCATTTAAATTAATTTAGTAAAAAAATTTTTAGAATCAATATTTGAATATAAATATAATATAAAAATTTAATCTGTAAAAATAAATTTATAAAACTATAAATAAATTAACCAAAAAATTTTTTGATATAAAAGTCAAGTAATTATAAATATAAACTCAATTATATTTAAAAAACTTATCTGGGAATTATTATTCAATATTAAATTTTTAAAATAAAAAAAATATTTTTACAAAAAATTTGTATTACAAGTTAATTGTTTTTAAATTTTTTTAATCTACAGTAAATAACAAAAATTTTTAGAAAAATTATAAAAAGAAGCAAAAGAAAACAATAATTCAAAAATTTTAATTTGAAATTTTTTAAGATAACTGGTAATTATAAAGAAAAAACATTAAAGACTTTAAAATATTAAATTATTATTATTATAAAATTATTTTGAAGAAAATATCAAAATATTTTAAAAAAACTCATAATAATGAAGAAAAAAAAATACACTTTAAATTATTTAAATATTATCAATACAAAAAAAAAACAAATTCTAATAAATAAATATTATGATCTATCAAGAAATAAAATTTAATCATATTATAATAATTAAAGAAGAAATAAAGACATAAAAGAAATAATAAATAATAATGTTTATTATATAAAAGATAGGTTCCAATAATGCAAAAGAAGTTGTGATAAGGAAATAAAAGGTCTAAGGTAATAACTCTACCTGGAAAAGATTATTTTTTTTGCTCTTACATCTTGTTCTATTGTTTTGAGTCTTGATTGCTGTTGCTATTTCATTAGAAGATATAGTTGTGAATTTTTTATGTGCATTTGATTGTGTTTACTATTGGTTTCTGTATAAACAATTATATGTTTTTGTGATTTAAGATGTATTCAAACCAGATTTTTATTTTACTGATTTTATTGAAACCTCATATATTGATTATAGCAATATAACAAAAGCAGGTGAATTGGTTTGAGTTATTATTAATATTTGAATTGTAATTAGTATTTAAATTAATTGGGTTAGTAGTGAATAATAAGATAAATAGAATATTACTTATAATTAAAAATATATATATTATTTGTGTTATTGTATATTATTATTAAATTGTGATAGTAAAAGAATTTCTTTGGAGAGTTCTTGAAAAGCTTGAATAATATCTTAAATTATATTTTTCATAATATTGATTCTAAAGTAAAGTTGTTATTGTTTTGCTTTTGAATATTGTATAGAATTAATAGCTTGCCTTTTTCTATATAATTAAAAAAATATTTTTCAAATATTATAACTTGTAATTCTGAAATAGAGTCTCAGTTGTAATTATATTTGACAATATTAGTATTTTGTTCTTGGTATATGATGTGTATCCAGTATACATCCTCTTTGATATTACAAATGTGATAATCCAAGTCTGCAAGTATAAGTTTTATGTTTTTGATTTCTTATACTAATTGATATAGAGTTAATAGTATAATAGTTACAGATGTGTTTTTGTTTAATATATTAATATGTAGTATTGGATTTGTGTATTTTGTTAAAAAGAAAATTTAAGTTTGTTTGTTCTAGAGTTCAATGCTTGAGCAAAAAATTTTTAGAATTTTTAGAATTTTTATAGAACTATAGTTTAGCTGATTTGTATTTGATATATATATGTTGAAATTTGTATATGTTTTGCTTTTTAACTTTCAGTTTTTCTTTTCTGGCTAACTGTTCTGCGCAGTCTTTAATCAAGTAATTGTTACTTTGATAAATGTCATACAATTTTTCTTCATGTCATACTATAAGAGCTTAGTATTTCCCAATGAATCATGAAAATTTCTTGCAGCCTCTTGATATTCTGTAAACACAAAACTGATTATTGCAAATCTTTTATGAATATAGTTGTTTGTAGGGTTCCTAACAGTACTATTTCAGTATCAAGTTGGTACTGGATTTACTATGAGTTTAATATAGTGGGTCACAACCTATATATTAACTTTATTATAAGTCAGTACCATTTTAATACTCAGTTCAGAACCCTAGTTTTTGTACTAAGATGTAGCAAGTTTGTACATAAGTTGATGTAAGAATTAACTTAAGATAAGCTATTGTTATATTGGGTAAATTATATATTTGAGTGTGTATTTGTATTATTGTTAATTGATTTGATTAAAAAAAGATTTTAATATGATCTGCCATAAATGGGATAAATTATCTTAGGGCCAATTTATTATAATTCTCCTTATTGATAAATTCAATATTACCTGATTGTCATATCAATTGTTAATATAGTAGTGCATTTGATTTCTTCATATTTGGCAAAGACTTTTGTGATATATACTTTATTATATTTAGAGAATATTTTATGTCTTAATAGTTTTGTTCTTAGTTAAAATAAATTAATTGTGGCCGTGAGTTTCATAAAAATTTCTGTACTGTTCTGTATAATAATATTTGTTACTTTTTTGATGCCTTTTCAAATAAAAAAATGGCAATTTCTACTTTGTTACTATTAAGATAGAAACATATAGTTTCTTGAAGGATTCAAGAGAAAATAGTATTTGACTAAACTTTTTAGATTTTTTTTGTTGGATTTGATCAAGAATAACTCAAGTTTTGTTTATAATAATTTTAATTTTTTATATTAATAAAAAATATAATAATTGTTTTATTTAAAATATTTTTAAAAAAATCAAAAATGAATTTTGTTTTAATTAAAAGAAATTAATCAGAAATCGAAAGAATAAAGCAAATAAAGTTTATACAGTGTGTTAAGAAAAAAATTGGAATTATATTTATATTTATAATTTTATAAATAATAATTTAAATTAAATAAATTTTCAAAAATGATTTTTTTAAAATATAAGAAACAAGATTACTTATAATTATTTTTATTGATTTATTATTATTATTTGTTTAAATAAATATTTAAAGTTTTCATACAAAAAGTATTTAATAAAATATTTAAATAGTTTAACTATTTCTATAAGGTATAAAAATGATTTTTTTCATAATGGCACGGTTAAACAGAATCTATATTAGGTTAGATAGTTTTAAACTAGTAATAAGATTTATATTTCCTAAAGATTCTGTTCAATATATGGATTTATCTATTGAATAATTTGAAATTTACATAACTGGATAAGGCTATAAATAGAAAAAGTGTATTAACTTAAATAAACTTTTAATATATCCTATTTTCAATATAAATTATTTAATAAAACTTGATGTGCATTAACAGCTTATTAAAAAAAAAGATTAAATATAATATACTAATCTATTTTATTAAATAAAATATTAGTTTATATTTAATTTATTTTCAATTTTTATATAGATTCTAATTCAAAATACAATATAAAAATTAAGTTCAAAAATAACAATTT